GTGATTCTACAGCATCTTACTACACTGATGGACAGAGTCTAGTAAACATAATGTTCCTCATGTAATTGTAGACTAATGATACCAAGAAAAGAAAACATATGCAGGACTTGTATGTTGAAAATTTCAAAATGTTGACTTAAAAAAAAACAAAAGAAATCCTAAAGAAATGGAGAGACAGTCCACAAACACTGGAAGAATCAACATAGTAAAGATGTCAATTCTCCCTAAAATGATTGGTTTAATGAAATTCCAATGAAAATCTCAGTAGTAGACATATTTTTCTTCTAAAATTTATATGGAAAGTCACAGCACTTGAGTAGCTAAAATAATTTTGAGACCAAAGAATAAAGTAGGAGGAATACGAAAGAACTCTCAGATCTTAGGTAAAAAACAATCCAATTAAAAAGTGAGTTGCAGACATTTCACTGAAGAGGATAAACAGAAGACAAACAAGCACATGAAAAGATGTTTAACATCATTATCCATTAGGAAAATGCAAAGTAAAACAGTGAGGAGATATCAAAATGGCTAAAATTAAAAATACTGATAACACCAAATGCTGACAAGTGTATGGAGAAACTGGTTCACTCATATGTTGCTGATAGTGACATAACACAGCCACTATGGAAAAGAATTTGACCATATCTTATAAAGCTAAATTACCAAATGACCCAGTAATTATACTCTTGGGCATTTATCCTAGAGAACTGAAAACTTATAGTCACACAAAACCTACACATGAATGTTCATAGCAGCTTTATTTCTAATACTTAAAAAGTGAGAATAACTAAGATGTTCTTCAAGGGGTGAATGGTTAAACTAAAGGTGTTATATCTATACCATGGAGTACTACTCAGCAATAAAAAGGAAGTAAGCATTGATATATGTAACAACCTGAGTGGTTCTCAAGAGGTTTATGCTGAGTCAAAAAAAAAAGGCAACCTCAAAATGGTACATACTGTAGGATTCCATTTACATAATATGTTTAACACAACAAAATTATAGATTTGAAAATAGTTTTTGGTTGCCAGGACAAAGGGAGGTGGCAGGGAGAAAAGTGGTTATGCCTATAAAAAAGCAGAAGGGATCCTGGTGATCGAACTGTTTGTTACATGTGGTGGTGGTAACATGAATCTATGTAATAAAAGTGTACAAATATAAGTACACACATACATACACACACAAATAAGTACATGTAAAACTGGTACTTATCTGAATAAGGCTGGTGGATGGCACCAATGTTAAATTTGTATCCAGTATATCATCTTTATTTAGGCAGGATGTTAACCAGTGGGGGGACAATGGGTGTAGGGTATAGGGGATGTCTGTTCAACTGCATGTGAATGAATCTACAATGATTTCAACATAAAAAGTTCAAAGAGAAACAACAGTATTTATAAAAGCTGTAGTTTTTATTTGCAGGGTTTAGGCTTTGTTCACAGAAAAAGAATTTGTGAGTTCTAGGGGACCAAGTTTGGGATTCTCATAACACTGCATTTTGACTAGGGAATGGGGTTGGTGGAGATAAATGCTAAATGACTAAAATTTGGTTTTTTTGTTACATAGGGAGGAGTTAAAAAAGCTTGGTGGGAGGAAAAAAAGATAGGCTAGAGTAATAAATAGTGCCTCTGAGTGGAGCTTATATTCTCAGAGAGCAATAGAAGCCAGACAGTTTTGAGGAAATGTCAGCAGAATATACATTCTTCTTCCCACCCACAAACCTGGATGTAGGCACCATGCCAATGCCCTGCACCAACTTGGTGGTCACAGTAAGGCAGGCATAGTGGTCTGTGGGAGAAGGTTAGGCAGAGAGGGCCTCGCATAGTCCCTCCCAGCCTCTGGCACCAATGGGACATGGAGGAGCCTTAGAAAAGTCCCCTAAGAAGGCCAAGGTAGTTATCTACTAACGAAGAGCTAACCTTCCCACTATGGATCCCCACGGGGCAGGACAGCCTGTAATAAATGTAGGATACACCCCAATTTTATAAGATCAACAGTGCCGGTGAGAGCCGACGGGGAGGTAAGATCAGTCAAGCTCCCCGGGTACAATCGCCAGCATGGCTCCTGAACGGGTAACAGATCATGAGGATACCAGGCACAGGCAGTTGGCAGTGGTCTGTGTCTAATGACAAATTAGTAGAAGACTACAATAGGAGGCCAGTGGGGACACACAACCTCCCACAAGTCCTGAGAAGCCCTCCGCAATACCCACTAACACCCAGGGAGAAGGCAAGGAAAAAGGGCAGGGGGAAAGTGGTGATTTAATTTGAATTTGAAAATGACAGGCCTGAACAAGCTGAGTACAACACAAAGAAAATTAAGAAAATTATATTTCTGCACATTTAAGTCATTATACCAAAACTTTACTACATGAATGACAAAGAAAAAGGTGACCATTGAGGCCCTTTGTCCCTGGGTTTTGGCCCTAAGGCATTTATACCCTTACTTCGGGGAGAATGAGTGGAGCACAGAATGAGCCCTGTGCTCACTTGGAAACCATGCACCCTCTCTGAATAATTCAGGAAACAACTCCTGACTCAACCACATTGCTTGAGGTTGTCCCCAAATATGTTATAATGAATGTTTGGGGTTGTATTTTCTTTTCTAAACTAACCATTTAGAAATGCATGAGTGGAATCAATTAAGTGGTAAGAACGTAGTAATTACCCACGTTGACACCTTTCTTTGGCAATTGAGCTGCTCTTTTCAGTTAATTTCCTAATTAGTAATATTTATCCTGGCTCTGGCCTCCCACCCCCTCCTTCTCTCAGCAGCAGGACGTGTCTCATGCAGATGCTCACCTGCTTGGACACCTTGGCCCAAGTTTTCTTCAGCCTGTAGATGGCACTTCTGTTTAAGGCTGAGGTGATCTCCAGCACGCCGTTGTAGTCGTGCAGGCATCGGCAAATGTCCGCCACTGCCACCCACTTCTCAATTGCGTTGGCACGGGAGCTGACATCAGCATAATTCATTATCTGGGAGGCCACCAGGTTACTCATCTGAGACAATGGAAAAGCCAGGAGAGGCCAAGCTAAGAGCCGAAGCAATGCATTCAGGCAAAATACCTGCTACCTGCATTACCCACAGGAATGTCAGGAAGGCAGGGTGCCAACAGACATGGGGGGTCCTAGTCCATATTTAGATACCAACTTTCTGAAGAGACTAGTCTGTAATAACGATAATAACAAGAACAAACTAATGAGCACCTATTCACCTCAGAGTGAAGAGAGGGGTTGTTTGGAAACAGCTTGTTGGGGGAAGAGAAGAGTTTGTTGATGAGTGATTTGGATGAAGGGAAATGAATCGAATGAGCCCCTGAGGAATGGCCGCCTTGGCAGACGGTGGGTTTCACGTCTTGAGCTTATATTCTCAGAGAGCAATAGAAGCCAGACAGTTTTGAGGAAATGTCAGCAGAATATACATTCTTCTTCCCACCCACAAACCTGGATGTAGGCACCATGCCAATGCCCTGCACCAACTTGGTGGTCACAGTAAGGCAGGCATAGTGGTCTGTGGGAGAAGGTTAGGCAGAGAGGGCCTCGCATAGTCCCTCCCAGCCTCTGGCACCAATGGGACATGGAGGAGCCTTAGAAAAGTCCCCTAAGAAGGCCAAGGTAGTTATCTACTAACGAAGAGCTAACCTTCCCACTATGGATCCCCACGGGGCAGGACAGCCTGTAATAAATGTAGGATACACCCCAATTTTATAAGATCAACAGTGCCGGTGAGAGCCGACGGGGAGGTAAGATCAGTCAAGCTCCCCGGGTACAATCGCCAGCATGGCTCCTGAACGGGTAACAGATCATGAGGATACCAGGCACAGGCAGTTGGCAGTGGTCTGTGTCTAATGACAAATTAGTAGAAGACTACAATAGGAGGCCAGTGGGGACACACAACCTCCCACAAGTCCTGAGAAGCCCTCCGCAATACCCACTAACACCCAGGGAGAAGGCAAGGAAAAAGGGCAGGGGGAAAGTGGTGATTTAATTTGAATTTGAAAATGACAGGCCTGAACAAGCTGAGTACAACACAAAGAAAATTAAGAAAATTATATTTCTGCACATTTAAGTCATTATACCAAAACTTTACTACATGAATGACAAAGAAAAAGGTGACCATTGAGGCCCTTTGTCCCTGGGTTTTGGCCCTAAGGCATTTATACCCTTACTTCGGGGAGAATGAGTGGAGCACAGAATGAGCCCTGTGCTCACTTGGAAACCATGCACCCTCTCTGAATAATTCAGGAAACAACTCCTGACTCAACCACATTGCTTGAGGTTGTCCCCAAATATGTTATAATGAATGTTTGGGGTTGTATTTTCTTTTCTAAACTAACCATTTAGAAATGCATGAGTGGAATCAATTAAGTGGTAAGAACGTAGTAATTACCCACGTTGACACCTTTCTTTGGCAATTGAGCTGCTCTTTTCAGTTAATTTCCTAATTAGTAATATTTATCCTGGCTCTGGCCTCCCACCCCCTCCTTCTCTCAGCAGCAGGACGTGTCTCATGCAGATGCTCACCTGCTTGGACACCTTGGCCCAAGTTTTCTTCAGCCTGTAGATGGCACTTCTGTTTAAGGCTGAGGTGATCTCCAGCACGCCGTTGTAGTCGTGCAGGCATCGGCAAATGTCCGCCACTGCCACCCACTTCTCAATTGCGTTGGCACGGGAGCTGACATCAGCATAATTCATTATCTGGGAGGCCACCAGGTTACTCATCTGAGACAATGGAAAAGCCAGGAGAGGCCAAGCTAAGAGCCGAAGCAATGCATTCAGGCAAAATACCTGCTACCTGCATTACCCACAGGAATGTCAGGAAGGCAGGGTGCCAACAGACATGGGGGGTCCTAGTCCATATTTAGATACCAACTTTCTGAAGAGACTAGTCTGTAATAACGATAATAACAAGAACAAACTAATGAGCACCTATTCACCTCAGAGTGAAGAGAGGGGTTGTTTGGAAACAGCTTGTTGGGGGAAGAGAAGAGTTTGTTGATGAGTGATTTGGATGAAGGGAAATGAATCGAATGAGCCCCTGAGGAATGGCCGCCTTGGCAGACGGTGGGTTTCACGTCTTGGGGCCTTTGCACATGCTCCTTGGCACCCAACAGTGTGGGGGTATTCACTCCAGGGAGCCTTAGTCATCACAGAGCAGGACATATTTACCCCAGTTAAATCGAATTCCAATCTGAGCAACTCTTAAACCAGAATCATTTAGGTGCAGGGAACGAGAGAACATTTTCTCCTTCCTATCTTGCGGAATTATTTTTCCACCATCAGTTAAAAGGACTGATAGTTTCAAAGTTAAGTACTGTAATTCTGTTAGTTAAAGCCAAGAGAAAAAGAGGGCTTAAGAAGCTCAACTCGTACAATAAGGAAAGGAAAAGGACAGAATATGAGTGATCACCAACAGAGGGGTATTGAGGTGATAATCTTATATCCATACACTCACTCTGATGGGTACGCCCACTCTGTCATAATTCCGTAGGTATTTTAGATCCCACTGTGCCTCAGAATTATCATTGTGCATATTCACTAAATTTATTTTGTACTGAGCACCTAGTATGGACCAGGCATTCTTTGAGATTTGGGAACAGGAAGAAAAATTACAGCTGACTTTAAGGCCCTGAGCCTAGAGAGGAGGCAGATGCCAAGCCAAGGCCTCGTGGAGGGGGTTGGGAACCTGAGGCAGCAAGGGGCATCTGGCCTAGGACAGGGGAGGCTCTGGAAAGACGTGCCTATATTGAGTCCTAAAAATGAATGCGAGTTAGTCCCTGCTTTCCCTCAAAGTTGACGAGTATCTGCAAGGGGACAATGGAGGAAGGTGGAGTGTAAAGGGGGATCCGGCAGCTGGTTGAGGAGCACGGTCAGGGGCTTGTGAGACAAGAACAACAGGGGGCAGGGCTCTTGGAGGCTGTGTTTGGCAGTTAAGACTGTATTGTGAAGGCGAGGAGCAGCCACTGAGAGAATTTCTTCAAAGTAACATAGTTGGATTGGCCTTTCAGAGAAGTTATTTCTGTGACCCTGTGTGAAGCCTGGGTTGGGGGCAGTGTGGTGGGTGTGGGGACTGAGAGTTAGAACCCTTGAGGGAAAGAATGAAAGGCCAGGTCATGGTTACAGCCATGGAGAAGGAAGGAAAAGAAGGGCCTGAGACATGTAAATTGAGGGTTCACTACCATGCTGGAGGGTGGGTAAGGGAGAGGAAGGAGTCAGAGATGACCTCTCGATTCCATGCCTGGGTGCGTGAGTGTATGCTGAGGCTGTAACACAAGACTAGGAACAGAGAATAAGATGAGGAAGCTGCTTGGCAGGCCCGGAGGTGCCGACAATAGGTTCCATCTGCCACTTTTTTTTTGAGAGGGCATCTCTCATATTTATTGATCAAATGGTTGTTAACAACAATAAAATTCTGTATAGGGGACTCAATGCACAATCATTAATCAACCCCAAGCCCAACTCTCAACAGTCTCCAATCTTCTGAAGCATAACGAACAAGTTCTTACATAGTGAT